TATTTATTCAATTGTTCTATTTTTACTTGTATTTTATTTCACTATTATTCCATTTCAGGTTTATTTTGGTTAATATAATTGTTATTTTCAGCTATTCGTTTTCAATTCTTATTTTTTAGTTGTTTCAGGGATTTCAAATCATTTTATATAGTAGACAATGGAAGTCCAAACTAGTGAAACTCATCATGGAACATTGTCAATCACCTTCAAAAAAAACTAAGTTGTTTTCGAGTCCATAAGTTATCTCCCTCTTCAGGAATTTCTGATAATGTATATGAAGCAGATTCAACCCCTTCTGAAATGCTGCCCCTCCCGGAGAGCTGTGTTCTCAGCAAAAACACATTTTGAATCTTCTCTGATAAAACAAACATCACCACTGACTGGTACTACTACAATACATGTGACACCACATGTAGTTTAGGAGTGGGAAAGCCTTATTCATCTGAAATGTAAAGTATATCCTTTTTGCTCAAGCCAATTCATTTGGGAATGACAAGTAACAAAAAACCGACTATAAGAGCCATATTTTTGCAGCCAACTTGGATGAGCCACCTAATGTAGGACAAACAGCGTGTTTTCAGACATTTAATTGGTTATGAATGACGAGTCATACCTGCAATGACCATCTCTAAAAATAATTACAACTTATTCAGTATTGACTCAAACCACTTGCCCCCCACCTGAACCATAAGATTGTTAATTGATACTACAGGCACAAAATGTAGTTTCAAATTGATACCTGTTTCAAACATTGGCGCAAAAAATACCTAGGATTAAAGTCCCGATCATAAAAAAGCGCAAAGTGCAGTCGTCCTTCCTTATGCCCTCTATCGTTCAGTCACGATCTGGCAACACCGCCGCCTGGTAAACCCGTTCGAGCCCGGGAATGAACAACAAACCACGAAACAATCAGCTGAGGCAGCGCTAGCTTTATCAGCAACTAAAGGTCGGACGTGAAGTCTGAGGATCGGGTCGGATTCCATTTTTTGCCATCGACCGCAAGATTTTGAAAGAATACGCCGTGATTGCACGNGTTCGCCCAGGTAAATAATAGACAACCCAACGGCTGCACATTCTATACGTTTTATACTTCAAGTAAGGACAAAAATTTTCTTATTATCTTGATGTTGCAAAATTTAATTAAAAATCATTTTTCAAAAAATAATTAAAAATAGCCTGTCCAGGATTTTTTTAGCGAACCCATTTTCAACATACTACTAATTCATCGCTTTCAATGTATTCCTCAAAATGTTTTCAATAACTTTCGAAAAATACGAGAACATTCTGAAATATTATGGAAAGCGTATAATACACGTGCTTAAAAACATCATTAAATTACAATTTTGGTAGCTCAGTTAATTTCACCCTCCATAAATAATAATTGAAACATAATACGCACAAAATGAGAAAGCATATATTTTCAAAATCTCATCTTCAACCTTCTATAATTCTTTCAAACGAACACAAAGTAAAAAATTAAGTTATTTATCAAAAAAATCAACAGCAATTTATCGGGACTAGCAGAATAATCTTGAGAAATCTTGGATAATACATCAGATGAAGGATACATACTCTGATATAAAAAAATATTGTTCTCTACTCACAATTGGGCTAATGTTTGGCTTACCTGAAAAAAAAGATAGGAATTAAAATTGTTGTTCAGTTAATATGAATTTAACAATTATACACCCCATACAATTCAAACGTTAATGAAGTGGACAAAAGTCTTTCTTTTTAGAAGAAATCAAAAGTTTTTGTCGTCCTCCTTTGAGTATTTTCATTTTCCAGATCCTGAAAATTAGGAAAATTGCAATGGAGAATTTCATACACGTTCTCCATTGAAACTTTCGTATTTTTTAAAATGTAAACGTTGAAAATTCCCAAAAAAGGTGAATAAAAACTTCAATAAAGTAATTTGAACACGATTCAACAAATTCCAAAGTTAGACAATGGCAGCTTAACAATGAAATTTCAAAATAACAATCTGGCTCTCCTTCTAATGTCATTTCCTCAAACACCTCAAACACTTCAGGGCAATTTATCAATCAACATCATTAAATAATAAGCTGACCCATTTTAAATTCATTCCCATGTCTTGCGAACCAAGGTTGTGAAGATTTATCAAACAAATATATAACAGAATCCCAACATTTTTCTCGTGGGAATATACAGTGTGTAACAACGAAAACTTAACAGAGCCGTTTTTTAATATAAAAAATACGGTTTTTAAAAAAAGGTCGGACATGTCGATTTCTAATTAAAGGGGGACACCTTTCAGACTAATCAGATTTTTTGTAGTAATAATTTTTTGCCATAATTCAAATTCTTTCATCACGAATAGCAAACTACAGTCGGTTTTCAGGATTTTCATTATGAATATAGAACATATGAACGTAGAAGCCGTGAAACAATTAGACTGCGGAATATTGCGAATCAATCCTCTGCAGATGAAGAAGAAATCTCTGCTAGGTCTACTGTTCCGCTGTTTGAAAGTTAAAATCTACAGGTAGCTCAGTTTCCTGCCTAAAATAATCACCAAATTACTGTACACGTGGACAATCTACTACTGAGCATGGAAGTGACCCGGCAACACTGGCCGGGCTATTATGGCCCAACTTCGTGCTCCACGAACACAATATAAAAAAATAATAGAACTAGGCGAATTATACAACATTTATTGGTTCTAATGCGGTACCAATTTCGGCTAGTCAGCTAGTTATGAAATAAACTGTCGCCTATGATCTCTGACACCAAAACAAAAATGTTATTCGAGGATTTATATAAATACAAAACATTCGTGACGTCGATTGGCGATTTAAAAGCCATCAACAATTAATTTTGCAGTGCAAATAATGTATGACAGAAAGGTAATTACAAACTGAACTCCAACTCCGACTTTCTCGATATTTCAACGTTATTTTTCTACGCACGTCCGTTCCAAAAATACAAACCGTTTCAAAACAAGGAACCTTGAAACTTATTTATATACGCGACTGAGCGTAATAATCGTTGTTTTGAATTTTTGTCATTCAAACTGCAGGAAAATAATTCTCACTCAGAACTCAGATCCCGAATATTCGTTAAAGTGGGAAATTGGGAAGAGAATTTGCATTTCCTGGGGTATTTCTAAAGAAATTCCTGCACTGACGTCTGTTGGATATAATCCAACGCCCTTCGAATTAGCCAGGGGAGTAGTTGTTTTCTGATAGGCGTCAGTCCATTCAACTTACTGTGTAGGTAAATTCGAGACTGGCTTGAACGTTTAAAGTTCGTTTCTTTAGATTTGTTTACTTCCAGTCTACAAGCATAGCTCACTGACTAATGAGAAAGTTCTGGGGTATTTTCAAACTATAGTGAATGTTTTAAATAACCTGAACGAAGGTTCCGAAATGTCTGAACACTAAAAAATGGTCGTCCATATGGTTATATCTCATCTGAGACGTAATGTATATTTGACTACATACAGGTCGAGTTCTGTACTCAAAAATAATTAAGGAAAAATGAGATCATGATTAGAAAATAATGTTATCCCTCGATTACATACAATGCATATCTAATAATGACGACAAAAAACTGCTGATTGCGATAAGAATCGTTCAAAGAGATAAAATTTTAATAAGAGAACGCTCATAACCACCATTCATTGTGTTAGAGTTATGATTTCTATCTGAAATAAAAAAAAAAACNTTACCTTTTAACGTGTGATTCCTAACACAAATTCAACCTATCAAGTAGAATGATCTATACTTTCACAATCAAATAAATCACAGAATTAGTCACAATACATCCCGACGAAAAATCAATATAAAAGCCTCCTCCTCAAAACAAAAAATCTTCAAAGTAGTCGACCAACGTCCAAAATGAATCAAAATAATAAAACTCATCCCCGTATACGCCATCCAGCCATCATATTGTCTGTTATCAGACTTCCTCCACGACAACTTATTTACAATGTGGCAACACAGCTCTCGTCATGAAAAATCTGGCAACATAGCTTCGATACAAAAGAAAGCTCGGACCCGGCTGGCTAGAAGTGAAATTTAATTCAGTATAGAACGGCAGGACGACGGTAGAGTAGGGTGAATGGGAGATTTTGTGGCAGAATATGAATAGGGTTACAGTTCTTTTTTCTGTAGTATCTCTGTGGGAGATGAGAAGCTAAAAGGGGCACTCTGGGGTTAAACTTTTTTCGCAGATGTTGCATTTGTTCTCATTTAAGATAAAATGTAGAACCATACTTTTTGTAGGTGATTGACATACGTATCGATATTTTCGGGAAAGAAGGAAGACAGGAACAAAACAATTATAAAATAAACATTGGATTCTTGTATATTACTGGAGTTTAGTTTAATCAATCACCATGGTTGAAGTCCTATATTGATTTGAATACTGAATTGCGGAGAAAAAGGCTACGAATGAGTTTGAGAAAAACATTTTCAAGCTGATGAACAATGCAGTATTCGGGAAGACATTAGAAAAAGAGTCGACAATAAACTCCTCATCAAATAGGCTGGTCGCTACGGAGCCGTGCCCTATATTTCTAAGATTGTGTTGGAAAATAAATACATTTTTTTTTCAAAATTTAATGTTTTCTTTGTTGGGCCGGATACTATAGGTACCACTCTCGTACCTGCCGACCTTGAGAAGCCGGGTACCTCTAGTGACTCATCAAGTCCGAAGGAGTCTTTAAGCCGTGAGGTTAATCCTGCAAAAGTCCTTCTTTGTTCAGCTCTCGCGAAACGAATCCAAAAAGGGTGTAGACGTACCTGGGCTGTGAAAATCTGTAGAAACAATTAGTAAAAGCCGCACGGTGGATCCGATTCAGTTTATAACAAACATCCGAATCTAACATGTATTTAGGGTGAACGGACCTGACGATATAACATTCAGAAAAGGAATACTGTTAGCAAAAACAATTAATTTACATTTTCGGGTTTTCTTTTGGTAAAAGACACACAACTTTTTTCACATTGAAGCTGTTTTTACCATTTTTAAATATCATTTGACTAGTGCCAAAATTTTCGAATATAGCCAAAGCGAATGGGTTGAAAATGTCATTCAGGTTTTAATTAAAAATAAAGAATAATTTCGAGCGTCAATAATTCTTAAAAATAACTGTTCCGATCTAATTTAAAACGCCATCTCAACAACTCTATCGAATGACGAATTATCTATCAGAAACTAATACCACAAGACCTCAAAATTTCATCGATAAACTCACATTTTTTTAAAGAAAATTTTATTGTTTAGCATTACTACAATAACAAACAGAATGAAAAAATTACGATTTCATTGAAATTCAATATAATCTAAAGATTTCTTAACAATCACCTCTATAGAGGTGATTTCTGGTATATCAACTTATTTTGACGATATTTTGGTAAAGTGTAAAATTCCATTGTAAAAATATAGTAGGGTGTAATATCACGATAGATATTTATATCTTTTGTTCTGTTGACCAGCTTTCTTCCCCTAAGAACAACTATTGAAACTCGTGCGAACTAAGGACTAACAAGGTATTATCTTTTAACGTGTGATTCCTAACACAAATTCAACCTATCAAGTATTAGTTCAGCGCAAATGAAAAATCACGTTGGAGTGTGAATTCTGCTGTATAATTATGGTGAAATATAAAGTTCTATTGTAAAAATATGAAGTGTAATATCACGGTATATATTCAATTACAAATTTAACCTATCAAGTTTTATTTCATCGCAAAAGTACACTCAAAATGAAAAATTGCAATGAAATATCATGTTGGAGTGTGAAATTCCGCTGTAAAATTCCATTGTAGTGTAAGTGTAATATCTCGATAGATTTTCATATCACATAATTAACCTATTTCATTTCACAGCAAAAGTACACTCAAAATGAAAAATTGCAATGAAGTGTGACATTCCGCTGTAAAATTCAATTGTAGTGTAAGTGTAATATCACGATAGATATTCATATCTCAGAATTAACCTATCAAGTTTCATTTCACAGCAAAAGTACACTCAAAATGAAAAATTGCAATGAAAAATCATGTTGGAGTGTGAAATTCCGCTGTAAAATTAAATTGTAGTGTAAGTGTAATATCACGATAGATATTCATATCTCAGAATTAACCTATCAAGTTTCATTTCACAGCAAAAGTACACTCAAAATGAAAAATTGCAATGAAAAATCATGTTGGAGTGCCAAATTCCGCTATAAATTTATGAAGTGTAGAATTCCATTGTAAAAATATGGAAGAGTGTAATATCACGATAGATATTCATATCACAGATTCAACCTATCTAGTTTCATTTCATGATAAAAGTACACTCAACATGAAAAATTGCAATGAAAAATCATGTAGGAGTGTAAAATTTCGCTGTAATTCCATTGTAAAAATATGGATGAGTGTAATATCACAATAGATATTCATATCTCAGATTTCACAGCAAAAGTACACTCAAAATGAAAAACTGCAATGAAAAATCATGTTGGGGTGTGAAATTCCGCTGGAAAATTCCATTGTAAAAATATGGAAGAGTGTAATATCACGATAGATATTCATATCACAGATTCAACCTATCAAGTTTCATTTCATGATAAAAGTACACTCAACATGAAAAATTGCAATGAAAAATCATGTAGGAGTGT